ATGAGTGATCTATCTGAAAGCAAAAAGTATAGCAGCAACAGCATGAGAAATCAACTCCCTTTTTCAGAAAGAACCCTAAGATGTAATTGAGAGGGGCCAGAATCTATTATAACTCCTGAGTCGCTACATTTTATGTTTGAAACCAAAGAACAAAGAGCAAACTCGACTTATGTTCCAATGATTTGAGATTTTAGATTTCCCACTTTAAGCTAGACCGCCAATACTTGATAAATGCATTTATCTATTAAAAAATAAACCACATTTACAGGAGGATTCTATATGGATATATCCAAGAAATAAGCTCCAATTTCTGAATCTGAACACAAGACTTTACCTAATTATCTCATTTTAGCTAAATCACAAGTGTAGATAGACAAACTAATCCATCAGGTGATGAAACATACTGCGGTACATGTGATCTAAGAGAAGTGGGAAAAGCAATATATAAGGCGAAACCCCCCAAAAGAAATGTATCTCCAGTAATAGGATCGACAACAAAAATGGTATTGCATGGATGCATTGCCACATAAGTAACAGTGAATAACTCTAAAGAAAAGAGGGGAAATCTAATAAGCTGATACCTTCCACGCCAGAATGAAAGATACCAAGGCCAGCCCAATATACATAGCCGTTCATAGGAGTCAAGTCATACACATTGAGATAAACAGGTGTGTCACCAGGACCGTATCGATCTGACTTCGCTTTGGGTAGCAAACAAAAATGTGCTGCTGATTTGGTCTTCAAATGGAGAGGCACAATTGATTTCCATCCTTTCTTTGGCTTTGAGGTCATTTTCCTTCCACTACTGAAATTAAGGCTCATTCAAGGCCCACTAGCATCTTGCTATCTGCATGAACCGAGAAGCATAAGGCATCTTAAGGAGCTTTAAGAATTCAAAAGACCAAAGAAAGAAAGAAAAATCAGAAAAAATTAAGTAAGAAAGAAGAGAGAACGAGACGAGGAGAAAGCAAAACCGCGGAAAGATCAATAATCATGGCTGTTTGATTTCACACAATATTTCAAAAGATTAGGTCAAACTTGCATCAGCTGAACAGAAATACACCAATAATTGTATGCTGAAAGTGAAAACACTGCACTGGACAAGGTTAGGCATGTAATACTATTGATGACATGCTTCACAACACATGTGCTTTATCTCTGCAACAAATAGAGCATATCATTTGCTTCCTTATCCAAAGCACTAAACATCATTTATCACAAGAACAAGCTGAAACATTACTTTTGTCACCTCGAAAAAAACTCATACTGGTTGACCTTTGGATTATGCGCTGCTTCCTTCAGATTCACGAGTTAGTTATAGTTCTCATTGAACAACAGTCCATAATCGTTTTATTGTACTAAGTTATATCATGTGCTTTAGCACTGATAGTCAGGAAACAAGATTAAAACAAAGTTTTGGCCTTACACTTACTGACATTCTGCTGCCCTTAAATTTCTTTCCCTCATTTAAACAACTTTGATTACAATGTAGTAGGACTTAGGGAAAAAGGAGATGGGAAGAAACATAAATCGTCAACAAAAACCAATGGAAGCACATTTGTTGACTAGCCCTATACCTGAATCTGGTTTATGAGAGATTTAATGATGAATTCTATTAGAAGGTAGGACCAAAGAGATGCTGTAGCTAAACTATCAACTGCATGTTCGATATCATTTTACTCTCATCCATCAAAAAAGCAACTTTGATAACCATGAGATCAAATCAGNGCTAGTAGAGCGTTGGGGGAAGCTCATATTTATTTTTAGATAGCAGAATAGGAATGAAAGAGTGAAGACAAATATTTTTCACTTACCTCCAGGATGTTGCGGTTTTTAATTTAGAGAAAAGAATTATGTGGTTTGTAGCAGTATAAGATTCTACAATATTAATGTATAGAAATGAACAAATACAAGTGGATCTAAGGCACCAGAAACAATGTTTGTGACAAGCGCAAAATACAACACAAAATTATTGCTCGCTAGTTAAAGATAATATAATTTAATTATCGTTTCTTAACCTTGAATGGTTGAATAATAGATTAAGTACTCAACAGGGAGAGGTAAGTGTCTGTAGTCAATGGAAAAGAAATTACCTAGAAAGAATATTAAGAACGAATCTTTCAGAAGGGAGAAAAAGAATGGCAATAGGATACATGTCTCTTTCAACTTCAAAGAGAAGTCCACTATATGGATGAGTGGGGAACCACTAATGTGTACTATCATCTGTAGTGTGCATCCAATAATGGCTATTTCTTTAATCTACTTTTAGTTCAAAAAAAAAGTCAAAGTTCAATTTCAAGGGAGACATACCATATCTATTCATCAGCCAATCTAATGGATAAATTTGCTCATTTAGAAACGGATATGCACAATCTAATTGTCTTGCAGTTACAATCATGAAGAGATATGCATAAGAAACCACTTTTTCTTTGTTTACTATAACTGCTATCACTTGAAGCTATAAAATTTTCAGATGAACTATTACTAACTTGAAACATGAAGACAAATTCAACTCAATTGAAAAAAGGAAACTAAGTTGGCTCGTCTTCAGCTTTAGTAACCAGGTTTGCAATGTTCCTAATTATCATTTTGAATAAATGTACATGCTTGGGATGAGCTTTTACTAGAAACCTTCCGCTCACATCTTTTCTCAGATAGCGAACAAGTCATTGTAACAAAATGACGAAACTTAGACGTAGCAAGCCAAACTGAACTGCCAAGAGAAGATGACAAATGGAATATGAGGAAACAAACAAATGGCCGTTCGAAAAGGACTTCAAAAAGCTGAATTGACCAGAGTATATTGAAGAGAAAATAGTATGTAACAACATCCTTACCTACATATTTTAGAAGAAAAAAACATCAAGGAGTGGAGGGTTCAAAGTCCAAGTCAAAAGCAAGGAAAGTAAACAGATTGAATCATTTGGCAATCATTATGCAATTGTCAACATCCATTAAAAACATAATTCTATTTTGCTCCAGATGTGCCAGGCAGAATTTTGTATTACTACTAATTCAACCAACCCAACTGATACCCCTCTTAGGGCAGGTAATCACCACATAAAAGCTAATTAATTTCCTAAAACAAAATTTTCATCCAAACCCCACCACCAAAAATTTCTCTTAGGACACACAAATTGCATATTTATGGAAACCAAATGAAAAAAAAAAAATAGGAAAATGGAGCAATTAGGTAAAGAATAGTACAATTAGACTTGTAAAAATACCAGTTCTACATCAGATCTTGCTGCTATATTGAAACATTTACAGTTAATAAGACTTTACAAGCACTTCTGGAACAAGCACAAACTTTAGCCAAGAATTAGGTGAAAAAGATCCAAACTAAAAAAAGGTTAAAGCTTTTAAAGAAACATCAAGAAAATGATGAAGAAGAAAGACTTACATATTGACATTAGAAGAGTATTGCAAAGGCAGCAGTTTTTACAACAATTCTGTTGTAAATACAGATCACACTGAAATGGAGCTAATTGTGTCCCTGTGCCAGAGTTATTACTTGTGTTGTGACAAAAACCCAGTAAATTACACTGCTAAAGGTATGAATACCAACCTACACAATGTTGTTGGATTTTGCTTACTACACTAACAAGTAGTAAAAAATTAAGAAAAAGGAAAGGAAGAAGAAATTAGAGGAATTTGAAGAGACCCCAGATTTCAGAAGCTAAGCAGAAACTGACAGAAACACACGCACACACTCTCTGTCTCTCCCTCCTAATCTCCCTCCCAATTTTTCCCTTTTTTTGGCCTAAAATATAATGAGTTTGAACTTTGAAGCATAATATGTTTTGGGGTTTCGCATCTACAATTACAACTCTAGCATCCATATATAATAATTTTACTATAAAAACCAAGCTTTTTCGGAATCAATTTTTATATTATGTTCTCTATTACAACACTTAGCTATAACATCCAAAAATATTCGGAACAAACGAGGCTGAGGTTTAACTGTAGTACTTGCTAGACTATTGCGCGTCTAAGCAAATATATACGGTCATACCTCTCTATAATACTACCCCTATATAACAGTCATTTGCTATAAAAGTAAGTTTTTCTCGGAACTGATTATTATGTTATATTATAATATATGTCCTCTATAACAACATTTCATTATAACAACCAAAATTTATCAAAATAAATGAGTCTATTATAGAGATGTTTGATTGTATAAAAGAAAAATTCACTCGAACTCAAAACATATAATTAAGGGTGAAGGATTTTATCTATTACATCATAATCTTTAGTGATAAAAAATAATATTATTGAAGATTTTTCAGTTATAGTATACACTAATAGTAAAAGAAAATTATACTATTAGTATAGTTTAACCTTTGATAATAGATTAGTTATCACTTTTAGGAGGTTACCAATTAAAATTTATTATAAAAAGTTACTTATAGTTACTTTTAACGTGATATGTTTGTGTAAATAATTTTTATCCCGTCAAAACTTTAAATTCTATTAACGAAAGTCTTTTTCATTTTAAGAAATCATTTAGATCATCTTATATGTTTTAAGTCTTTTGGATATAAATAAAAGAAGAAGATTGCAAATCATGAGAATAGTATTGTTGACTTGTTGTTATATTTTGGAGCACTAAAAGGTTAATAATAGATCTTAGAAAATAAAGTTAAATGATAAATATCTAATTGTTGATGGAGAGTAGGAGCAAAGGTTGCTATTTATAAAGGAATCCTTTTTTAAGTAATTTTTTTTTTTGTTTTGATGAAAATTAATACTATATCTTTTTGAGAAAATATTTCTTACAATTTAAGGTTTTTGATACTAAACATATTGTTGGAAAAACACATCCTTAATCTTTAAACCCTTATACTAGTGGTTCTTATAATAAAAGTTTTGTTTGTATTTTTTTTTTCTTTTTTTGGCTGTTGGGTTTTATAGCTCCAAGAATAAAGTTATCAGACAAAGAAAAGTTACAATTGAGTAAAGGACAAGCTAAAGTTGAAGCCCGTGAAATGACAAGAGGAAAGAAAAAGAAAAGTAGGTATCTTTGGAATTATTTGAAAATATAAGAAGAAACTAAAAATATTTTGATCATTTTTTACATGAATTTAATAGAGTAAATTTTACGTTTCTTTAAAGAAGCTAATTCAATGCACATTTGACAAAATTAACGTTTAAAGACGTTAGGTTCTACTAATATTTATTCAAACTTGAAATACATCTATACGTTCTTTTTCACTGTTATCCTTTTGTTTAAAAAATGCTACTCTTCAAATCTAGTATTGAAGATTTCTTATGAAATGCCAAGATATATAGAAGAAACTATTTGCTTTGAAACTTACCCAAAATGCCAAAAGAAAAAACCAACAAAAAGAAAAAGATGGCTGATTGTTTTTTTGGGGCGAAAATTTTCATCATAGCCTATCTATAGTATGTAATTTTTTTCTCCACTAAAGAATAAAGAAATAAAAAGTTACTGTAATATATATCTCTTCTAAGTTCAGTCACCGTCGCGATAATAAAACATTGGAAAAAGAACGGGGAGATGTCGACAAAATTAGCGTTAAACAGTTTAACCTTCCTATTTTTGTGATTGAACCACAAAAACTAAAAAATATTTTAAAACTGTTATAAAATAATAAAAGAACAAGAGCAATATTGCAGAGAAAGAGAGAGAGGAAATTCTTATTGAATTTGGGATGAATTACAATGGAATAGAACCCTCTATTTATAGGGAGTGGGTGACTTAGCCACCAAGCAATGAACCCTAGAATCTCTCTAAATATAGACATTCACCATAAATAAAATCCTATTTATAACACTCCCCCTTGAATGTCTATTCAACAGATAATGTGCCTCGTTAAAACCTTAACTAAAATAAAACCCAGTGGGAAAAAAATTCTAGAGAAGGAAAAAGAGTACACATATCTAACAATACGCCTTTTGGTTGCCTCGTTAAAAACCTTGCAAGGAAAACCCAGTGGGACAAAACCTTGTAAGGGAAAAGAGTACAATGCGTATTAACTCTCCCAGATGAGAACATCAATTCACATCCTTGAGCCTTCGCATCCCAATCTTGTGCACTAGCTTCTTGAAGGTTGACGTTGGCAAAGATTTGGTGAATAAATCCGCCATATTAACTCCAACGAATATGTTGCACCTTGAAAATCATCATTCTTGATAGAGATGGATTATCTTCATATGATCTTGTTGTAACCGTCAGTTCAATATCTTCACATAGAGGTGAAAACTCTTGGTATCATATTATCATGCCTATAGTTATAGCAAGATATAAAATTGCACTGAGGAAGTAGTACTTCAAGATCAAGAATTGTATATGCTTCAAGCGATTTAAATCCTTCAAGGATTGTCATACATGTCATACAATAGACTTTAGATGCATATCAAGTTTTCATGTCATGCTAGACATACAAGATATCGAAAATTGATTGCACATACCATTGACTTTATACTTTCAAGTATTTGAACCACATGTTCAAAACTACATGTCTTTCATATGAAACCAATTCTATTCAAAATTGTTTCTCCAGACTTAAGATCCTCATATATATTTAGCGCTATTATAGATGTCGTCGACAAACATTTTATATCGGTTCCAACCTCCTTATTTTTCATAAAGACATAACATAGAGATCTCTTCATTCATATATTCAGGCACTTGAATCTCTCATGAGATTTTATGAAGTGTTATGTCATGTGATCTTCTAGATCACTTGCCTCCTTTATTATGATCATTTAGATCATTTGCTCATCTTCTTTATCAAGAAGTTTATTTGAAAACCGACTTGTCTATACGCTTCAAACGTACCATAGACTTTGTCCTTCTAGGACTTAATAGGAGCATCTGCAATGAGAATATAGTTACTTTATTTGGGTCAGCAAATGCGTCTGGCATGCTTTGCAATATATTGCAACTAATTATCCTTTTATAGATAGTTTTCCAGGGCTCGGTATATCTCTGTGACAATCATTGGTACTATGCTGAAAGGCTGCCGCCAATCCCTTCCATTAGAGTCTTGGTGACCATGGTTAGTCTGGTATGGATCCTAGCCTTCTTCATAGGAAATACTATCATCCCCAAAAAGCAGGACATAAAGATGAAGACTCTTCTGTGGATATGCCCCAATGAGGTGAGGGCAAATTCATCTGGGTAAGTGCGGTAGGACTTGCTGTGGTCGTACCTCTCGTACAGATAGTCGAAAGGATTGTAAGAGTCCTTCAAACAGGTCAAGTCTGGATTTTTCTTTAGTCCCATCATCTTGACGGTAAACCCCTACCCTTGCGATTTTCTGGCATAAGCAAACCCGGAGTCTCCCAAGGAATACCAGCTAACCCTCCTATTTCCTCGAGCAAAGGTGTCATTTCAAGGTCCCTGAAGCGAAACACAGATCTGTCGCTACCCAAGAATAAAGTTGTAGCCTCTATGATTTCGTTGTCGTGTTGGATTTCCAAGAGAGAAGGCAAATTTCCCAAATATTTGCGGACGAGAGTCTGATCACTGGAGTGAAGGTCTTCCCACCAGCTTAGCAACCTTGGGTGAATGTTGGTTACCATGCCGAATCTGGGGACTTCGTGCCTCATTTTCTGCAAAACAAAGTGTTAGACCCTTAC